TCAATCGTCATTTTGTAGAGCGTTTTTTACTGCATCTTTTCTTCATAGAGACAAATTTACAACCACTTGTTTCACTATAGAAAAATTTATTATTCAAATCGAGTCAGGACTTCTGGCCCACCCTTTACGGTTTTGAAACTTGCTTAAAAAACAAAGGTTGCCACAAGATTCAGCATAATTGATATAATTTCTGACAGTCCCGAACTTAACGGCAGTGGAGTCCTAAGGCTTCATGAAAAGCGTGCAAAGCTCCCGAACCGTAGATTTTCTAGATGTCGCTTAGATCCAGTTTTGTGGAGGACACTTCGGACTACATATCTATGAGAAAAGCGACCTATTTCTATGTTTGTTTTCAGAATTCTAAACAGGTTTTCCAAACATCCGTTGAAAAAGTGGCTGCAGAAACTTTTTCAATAATCACTTTTGCCTATGGAAATATAGCCTCAAGTGTCCTTTTTCGATTACTGAAAACCGCAAGTTTCTACCGTTTGTCATCTTTGAGTTATTCGAAAAACAACCGACTGCATTATATTTTGGAATGGATAATAGTAATGTAATCATTACATGTCTATATTTTATCTGAAATGTCACGTCGATATTGAGTTGAAACAAGTAAGTCAATATTGTCTGACGAAATGTTTTTAATTCACGATTTAACATATAATAAGATAGTAAAAAATAGTAACAATGCATTTCAAAAGTGAATCATAAAGAATAAAGGACAGAACAAAAAACTGTTGACTATAAAAATAAGTTTATGGATTCATACAAAGTTGACTTTCTATTTTTTAACAGTTTATCTATAGAATGTATACAAAGAGAGAGAGATATAGTGTAGAAAACAGTTTTTTCGTTTTGTAATTTAACTTTAAATTAGCATATGAAAAAAATAAATAAATAAACTTCTTAAAGTATTTTGAATACTTACTGTTTACTACATATATGATCTTCAAGAAAGATTGGATTTTCAATTAACCACAAACTCATTCTCAGAGAATAATTCTTTTGTACTATGGAGAATGTAACGTAAGTAATCACTTTTATTCATTTTTATGTAGTTATGCACTATTATTATTTGCGTAAGTAACAATCGTTCCCAATTAGATATGTATCGGTTATTTTTCGATTCTTTTGACTATGTAACAGAAAAATTGCTTATATTTTTTTTGTGACGTAATCTATGAAACTTTTCTGAGTGATCAGTTTTGTGCTCTACAATATTTTCGTCGAGTTTTTCGTCTCTTTTATAAGCATGTTAGTATATGACAGATATTGATTATAATCATCGGCTATAACCGACATTCGTCGTACACTAACATGTTTATAAGACAAATAATAATCTCAACGAAAATTCTTCATGAATAATGTTTAGAGAATAAAATTCTCAGAAAACTCGGAAAAGTTCCATTGTCTACCTCAGAAAAATATAAACAATCTTTTTGTCAGTTATTCAAAAAAATCGATGCATGTTTATTTCGAATGTCATTGCTATGTTTGGCCAAGTTATTGCTTTTGACTTTCATCAGGTAGTTTTGAAAAATAATGAAAACTTTTCGAAAATATACGAAGCATATTGTTATTATTTACTTGTAGATATAAAAATAATAAGTCTGAACGAAACATTGAAAAGTCAAGTTCCATCAATATGATCAGTGTAACTACATGTTTATTTTTTATGGTTTTTGTATCATATGTTGTATCAAAAAATACAACGGATATAAACATTGAAGTCTATATTCCACAAGGTGATAAATTTTCAGCTAGTCCACTAGAAGCAATTATTCCTTGTTCAGAAAATCTTTCTGTTGAAGAAGCAATGAAACAAGCTTTTACACAAAATCTTATATATACAGCAAAATGGGGTGCAAAAATGAAAAATGGTACAATTCTTCAATCATATTATGTTGATAGTATTAATGGTGCTTCAAACTTTAATCATCCTTATAATGAAACATTAAGTCGATTTTGGTTTGTTTGTATTAATAACTCTGACCTTGATGTAGGTATATCACAAAAAGTATTGACATGTGGTGATCGCATTACTTGGTATTATATTCAATATCGACAAGGTTTATGTCAAACATAAATATGGAAAAAAATCATGTCATACACTTGACTAGAAAATAGCAATTGATCTATTTTTGTTGTTTTTGACGGTTTTCTGGTTTGTTTGGCTTTTTCCCAATAAATTTTTTATAGATAAAAGTAAGTATGCACCGGTTGCAGTTGTAACTAGGCGTGCATCGATTTAATCAGATGTAGTAACTGCAGCTATTTCCGACTTCATCTTTTTATTTTAACCCTTCACCGCGATTCGGTTTTTTGAGGAAAGTAACTTCAATCTATCAATTCTCATGCATGCTCACGTTCGATAAATGTACTCATTGATATTTTCGATATATGGGAAGTATCCCTATTCGTCACTAGGATTTTTCGAATAAAATTCACCATGTTGGTTTTTTCCCATCCGCTTTTCTTCTGTGATACATGGGATTTTTCCAATTTGTCCATACATGCATATATAAATACGTACATCATTCTAGTCGAGATAATGAAAATAAACTAAACTTAGATTTTTCAAAATTTGCAACTTACATGCTATTCGAAGAAACGGATACAGAGGAAAGTGGCGACTCAGAGAGTGATATGAGCAGTTTGGATAATGGCTTTTCCAGAATGCAATTCGAATCATCAAGTTCCGAAGAACAAGTTACGGATGATGGCGATGATGATGTGGATTCACAAGTCTGGAGCGAAATAGAATCAGAATCGGATATTGAATTCTCGGAGGATTATGGAATGATGGAAGAAGTACCGGCAGATTCGGAAGATAGTGCAATCAATCCTATCGATTGCTACCGACATTTTATCACTGATGAGATTATTAGTCTCATGGTTCGTGAAACCAGTCGATATGCAGAACAACACTTACAAACGCAGGAGCTTACCAAGAGATCGAAGACTCTTCAATGGAAACCAACTACTAATGAAGAAATGCTCAAATTTTTGGGCATAATTATTGAAATAGGATTAGTGCGAATGGCAGAAATAGAATATTATTGGAGCAAAAGCAAGCTGTTTGGATCCGAAGTCATTCAAAATACGATGTCAAGGGATAGATTTGAATTACTTCTCAAATTTTTTCATTTGTCGAATAACCAAGAAGAGCATGCTGACCAAGACAGGCTGTTCAGGCTGAGACCACTTTTAGATTCATTGAGAGCTAAATTCAAGTCAATTTACGTTCCTGGCTCCGTTATTTCTATATTCGGCGTTGTCGTGCGCACCTCGCCATTTATCGAAAGCCTTAACCCGTCCCGCTCTCCACTCGAACATGCATGGTTCAAATCGATTGTGAATAGCTGATTCACAGTACATTCGCATGGTCGCACTTGGTTAAGTGATCTCAAGATTGAATGAAAGAGTGATTCGTGGTTTGTGAGTGACCTTGTAAGACACTAAAAGAAGAACGAAGCGTTAACGCAGTGAAAGCATGATAAAAGATAAGCTGCAGAGCGACTCCTGTGAATTTTTCTCTACTGTCGTTCTTTTCTTGCGGATAAGGAAAGAAAGTGTTGTTGCCGATGCATCTATTCGTATTTTAATTCGTGCGAGTGTGTGAACTAAAAAATGGACTTGTCTTGAAATATGGAGCCGTCGCCTACAATAGTGTCTGTTTGACTCTCTAGATCTCCAAGAATCTTTTCAAAGTTTTTTCGAGGTTGCTGGCAATGTCCGGTCAAAATATTTTGTAGAACTCATTATAAATTAGTAGTCAATGTGAAACTATCACGAACAGCAATAAACTTCCAGATCTAGACATCCAATGAAACCTCATTCACACTTACTTTACCACAGTCGACCTACTTTTTACCAACGAAACATTATATTATATACCGAATTTTTCGCCAGAAAAAACAACACAATCGAGTACTAGACAAACTCTTCCATGCCACCATACCAACCGTTCTAAAACAAACCCCCAAAATCATCGAAATTCTCTAAAAATCCTCTATTAAATCTCACAAATTCATTATGTAACGAAAGTTAGAAGTCGATTCGAGTATTTCCCACGACAATTCGCCTGAGCGACTAAACCACAAAAGAAAACTAGTAAGCCACCTAGAACTCAACCTAGAACGAGCTCTACCTGACGATGTCGTCAGATTCCACAAAACTTCAACTAGATCGCCAAAAAAATTTAGCTGCATCCAAATACATACTCCTGTATCAAACATCCTCACCCTCACCCTCTAGTGAGATTTTTAAGTTCGCCAATTTTGATCTCTGACCTTTGACCTCGGATAAACAGACGCAATTTCCGTTTTCTGTACTCATCCTTTAGAGATTGAGAACTATCAATTCAATTCTTTTCTTCTTCAATTCTGTTTTCTTTCAACCGTTTATTCATGAAAAGGATGGGGAACGTCTTGGGTTCAAATCGGCCTCCTTAGAAAACATAGGCAGTTTGACGTGAAACTTTCATCGATTAAAGAGCTCAGCGTCAATAGTCACTGCTGAAAGTTCCAGCTCGATCGGCCACACTTTTGTGCTGAGCTAGGTACACCCCCTTGTGACTATTTTCTAACCAGCGAGAGTGAGAGAATTATTCGTTTTTCAAAGACTTTTTACATGCTTTGATGGCAAGTTCATATACCATTTGATAGAGAATTTAGTTTTGAACAAAACAGTATACTCCTGGACAATGAGGGAAAAGTTGTGGGCCATCGATTGCGCGTATGAATCACGCGAACAAGATTAGTATGCAAAATTTATTCGAAAATATCAATGCAAAATTTGACCAGTTCTTCATCATGAACGATATCATCGAAGAAACGAACGAAAAATCGATCCAGGCAGCAGCTGTTCTATGACGGCCGTTAGAAGAGAATGAAATAGAAACGAGTGAGGCATGTGCCTCACTCAGCCTCTATGCTCCACCGCCTATGTCTACAACTGCTAACAATTTCAGGCGAATCGAACGTATTTTTGTGGTTGGATCAAATTGTCTTTGAAACGATTCTCGTCCCTTGACAAAGAGTTTGGCTTAAATCCAGCTGAGTAACTCTTCCTCATTAGTGGGGAGAATTTTCAATTGTTGTGTTTATAACATACATCTAACTCATCCTTTTTCTGCCTTCTTTTTTGAAGTTCTTGCACAAACAATGGAAAAGATGACTCGCTCTTTTCTTATCTATTTTTTTTTCTACTCGTTTAAAAATACCCACGTGTCGTTTTACACTCATTCCTTCTATCTTTCACACTACGAAAAAGATGCCTCTTACATTATCACGTACCTTAACTTGGGCAGTTTATACTTCTGGAATCTTTCCATTTATCTTTGCAATTTTTGGAATAGGAACAGGTAATTGGTTATAGTAATGAGTGTTTTCATATATACCCCTGGAAAGCAAAAGCTGCACTCGGTATTTCAGCTCTTTTGACACTCGAAAAGGACATTTGGAGAAAAGTAATTATACCATTCGATAGCGCTTGGAATTCTCTATCAAACTGTGTATTTTGATTGTAGTTTGCTTTTATCTCCTGAGAAATTAATCAAGTGGAATGAAGGCACCCTCATATCCAGATTTCCACAGACTTGATTTTGTCACTGTCGTCAAAATTAGTTTTTTAAATTTTTCATCGCTATAGAATTACCTTTTTAAAAAGACAATTATATATTCGGATAGAGCTTGAAATTCTCTATCACCCTGTATATTTACTTATTTTCTTGCATTCATAGATTGATAAAACATTGAATACAATGAACATACTCTGAATTGACAAGTACCAAAAATCGTTATTTTTCTCCTTTTTTCAAAATATAGTGAGTGCCGGACGTTTCATCTCACTTTTTTTTAACAAACTCCCATCACCGAAGTTTGTAACGGAGTCTAGTACTTTTTTTACGGGAGTCCGTTTAAAAAATGAACCGGAGTTTGTAAAGAAAAATAACGGGAGTTTGTAAAAAATTAATCGGAGTTTGTACGATGGGTTTGGTCCCGTTCATATATTGAGTGTTAGAGATTTGGGTTTCTCTTTATTTTCTCCCATGTGAATTCGAATTTTTCTTTTCCTATCGTTTAATTGATGAAAACAATGCTGCCAGTTTTCAGTCATTTATTATTCCATTTCAAACTCCATTTTGGTTAAAAGAAAAACGTTGGCTTGTCAATTGTGATTATATTATCTCATTGAATACAATTAGACTATATACAATACCAATGAGTATAGAACATTCTGACATCTCAACTAGATGCGAAATATCGTCAGTGGACAATAATCATCGTTTGATTATGCAATCGATCAATAAAACGATTCATACCAATGACGAAAAGGTATTTTATTAATTAATATAGCAAAAGCGTCTATTTCATAATCAATGGCATATTTCGCATCAATAGTTTCTAAATCATTATCAGAATAGAATAGAGTTAGAACTAACAGATGAAAATGAAGAATATGAATTCGCGTCATAGTTCAAACATCTTGTAGACGACATCCTGATCTAAAGAGTCGTTCAAAACAAAATGATTTAACGTTCCGAATCATAAAGTGCAAATTAAATTTTACTATGATTCTCGATCTACGCATATAGTGTCTTGCCAGTGTGATTTTCTTGATCAGATGTGATCATGTTTTGTTCTTCATTTAGATGTTAATGACATGGGATCTTACAAATAATAGCGTCGGACCGCTGGAGTAGTTTATCTCGGTGAAATATTAAGAAATAACAATGTGAGCTGGCAAGGCATTCTTAGTGCCCAATACTCATCTATCTTTTTATTAAAAGACCATCACCACATTAAATCTATCAGAAAATAACATCAAAGATCCAGGAGTAAAATATCTCTCAGATTTTCTATGACATGATAAAGTAAAATCTTTCAATTTTCCGAGTTCGTGAATGCATCATATCATGTTTTTATCTAGACACTTATAACCCTGAATCTTAGTGATTGTAAACTTCAAGGATCATGTATCCAGTATCTTGCTGATGCATTGAAAACTAATAATGTAAGACATAAATGCAACTCACCGCGTGGGCATTCGTTCTTATGTTCATACGCAGGTACTCATTGAATTGACTATATCATGCAATGAACTCGGAGATACAGGAGCACTACATTTTGGAGAGATTTTGGGAAATAATCAGGTAATCTGTTGAATTTCTTGTTTTATTTTCTTACCGTTCTATTCCATATATAAACACTTATTCGATTGAATCTATCCAAAAATGGAATCGGGGATAGTGGAGCTCAATATCTTGCAAATGGTTTGCAGCATAACAATGTGAATAATTTACAATCATCACTCTTCCTATTGATCAACTCTATATTGCAGACACTTACTATGTTGGATCTTAGAGAAAATCGAATTATGTTTAAAGGAGCCGGATATCTTGTTGATATATTGGAAACCAATAAGGTATTTATCGTCATCATAATTCATTTTATTGAAATATCTCTGTTTTGATTGATTCAAGAAACTGGCTAAATTATGTCTACACGGTAATCATGCCATATGCGTTGCTGTTGAATTCATTTTTCAATTACAAAATGACAAAGTGATTCAAGATATTTTTCTCGACTTTCCCGTATATTCTATTATTCCTATAGACACTTACCTTCTCGGATCTTAGCAATAGTGGAATCACAGGCGCATTAGCACAGAAACTTGCCGATATGTTAAAGTCTAACAATGTAAGTAAAAAAAAATGAAAATTTTCCGACAATAGGAAAGAGAAAGGTTTCTATGGATTATATGTTATGCACACAGACACTCATAGCATTAGACCTTGGAAACAATATGCTTGGACCGATAGGGACGGCTAATGTATTATACTGCAATAATGTCAGCATTCAGTTAATCTCATGTCGACATTAATATTTGTTTCCTTCAATCAGACATTAACTCAAGTAGCATTGAGAAAATGTCAAATTGGAATTGCAGGTGCAAAATATATTGTTGCTTCTCTACGATACAATTATGTGAGCTATTTATCATTGTATAAGTTTCGTTCGTAGCTTCTACTTTCAGTCAAAAGACACTAGCCATTTTGAACTTAGAACACAATGAAATCAAAGATCAGGGTACTCAATACATCACCAAAGCCTTATATACAAACAAAGTAAATTCTGACTTACTCTCTACATTTCTTAGTTCCATCTTCGCTTTTTGTGAAACACGACTAGTGTTGAAGTTTAGAGGTAGAAAATGAGCCCCCCCCCCCCGGGGGGGGGGGGGGCGGGGCGGGGGGGGGGGGGGGGGGGTTGGGGGGGGGGGGGGGGGGGGGGGGGTGGTTTTATAGAGTGTT